GAGGCATTTAAAGTGATTGAAATACATACACCATCAATAAATAAATCACATTTTATGAATATTTTTTGCTATTAATTTGTTGATAAAAATACCATGTACATATGCGCATTTGCAATAAACTTGAAAAAAGATACATTAACCGGACGACGTTAAAGTGCTCGCTCATCTTCGCGAGAACAAAAGCTTTAACTTTAAGTCTGAAAAAAGCGTTTTCCCATTATAACATATGATTAAGTCAACTTCAATAGCATTTTACGAATGGAACAAAAATGAAAGAAAAACAGAAGTCAACAATATTAAGCACTCATATAGCTATTATTTACAGCTACGGGTTCTTTATCCAAAAAAATGTTGGAGCAAAAATGTATCCAATGCAAATACTATTATGTATTATTTCACCAATTGTGATTATTATAATAGATTTACCAAACTCTTCATTTATTATTTATCTTACTGGTAATTTATCGTCGTTATAAAAATACATTAATATAGCAGCAAAATTAATAATGTTTAATATCGAAACATTGTCTAAGTTAAACAAAATTACAATGATTTTATCTTGAATTTGAACTTATAATCAATTTTTAGCAAAATAGGATTTTGTCGAACCTGAATCTTGTCAAGGCCGCTATAAGTTTAGTGGGGAAGGAATAGTAATTTTTGTATAACAATTAATCGCTTAAACTAAACAATCTATTCTTAACTACAAATTATTCGCAGCGTGCATTACAATTTAATAAATTAATTTTTTATTTTAATGTTAATATTGTTTTCATGTTAATAATGTTAACATTTCTTTGAACAATAATCAATGTTATTATCCATATTATATCAACTATATCTATAAGTTATGTGTCCATAAAAAATAAAAAAATGATAATTATGCATCAAAATTCTGTTGTGTTGAAACGATTTAGTCAACAGCTTTGAGAGCAATTAGTCAATCTAATAAAAAAATTTTCTATATAAATAATAAAAAATAAGAAATTTTTCTTTTTACACTATCCTTTATTTATTACTTCTAATACCAATTACATGATATTTTTTATCTCGAATTTAAATATCTCATTTCTGATTAATTTATTTAAATTTTAATGTAAACATATATTAATTAAGCACAAATAATAATTAATTGTATTTGTTGAATAATTTCTAATTCAGGTAAATTCAAGTTTTTAAGATTAAAAGAAAAGATAAAAATTAAAATTGTTAACCGTTTGATTTTATTCTACATGTCTTTTGTAGATTGTTGAAAGTGAAGAAAATGATAAAAAAAAAAAAAAAAAAGGTAAGATTTATTATTATTAAAGGCATGCAATGAAAATTTCTCTATAAATTGAATGATTCGTTACATAATTTTTATATCAAACATACTGAAGTTTAGAAAAATTGAAATAAATTTTCTTGTGCAATTGATTTCAATATAACGATTATATCTGAAATACATAGCAGTTGTACAAATTCTATTTATATATTTTTGTTTAATTTATTGAATTTATTACGAAAGCTTGTATTAATAAAAGTGTCTCTAACTAAATGTCTCTTAACGCTTGTATAAACAATTCTTAAAAATAATAACTATTTATAAGTTCGGGTAAATAATCATTTCAAAATTGACAATCAAATTTGATAAAGTGTACCTAGTATGTGTAATTTTATATAAATTTTATTAAAAAAATTTATTTATTTTTTGCACTTAAATACACATATGAGAATAAAAATGTTTTCAAAGCTGCTACTAACATGTCGAACATCCGCCGATGTATGTCAGACCTGAAGTACATATTGAAAAATTAAAAAAAATTGTGTATTTAAAAAAAAAAAAAAAAAAGGAAATCGTGCAATTATAGAGTAATAAGTGATGGTTTGTTATAATAATTACAGAAAATAGATGCCACCCGCGCCATCTTTCTAACGACACTGAATGTAATGCAGCCAAATTACTAAAATATTCTCTATTGAAAACATGTAAAGATTCGCTGATTATTATTTTATTTATTTAATACCACGAGCATGAAGGAGATTAACAAAATTTTAAATACGCTCCGATTAAAATATGGATAGATTGTATGGACAACAGATATACTTGTGTACCTGAGGTATTAAGCCACGAAAGCTCAATTGGTAAATACAGAAATCTATTTCACCAACGAACAATCTACCTCCTCCACAGTCTCACTAAATCATGAAGCGGTCACTGGTACCATATCAACATTAACAATAATATCCAATTAAATAAAATGTTTATTTTAGAGAAATTATCAAATTCAAAATTACATAGATGTTTTAATGCAATAGTAGGTATTTAATAATTATGATAAGTAAATAAATGCTGTCAATTAAAAGCTAATAAGTACTAACTATCGGGATATAAAATTAAATTTTATTCATTTGTATTATTCATTAGGCCGAATTTGTATTTGTTATTTAATCGCCAATGTCTTTATTAAACAATACATTATAAACTCTTCTTTTTTTCTTTTACTTGGTTGAGAAATAAATTTATCCGAAGTTCTGTATACGAAAATATTTAAATGTATGTACATTTATTTTATAAAATATAAATGTGACAATATTTTAGTTTGTGTTAAAGTAAAACTATTAATGTAGCTTGTATTTGAGACGTTCTTATCAATATCAAAATAAAACTTTAAAAATACATACATCATTAAATAAAGCGGAAGGCTATTCTTTTACTTTATGTGCTGTTTCGAGTAAATGATATGGAATAAGTGAATAAGGATCTAAAAATATTGAATTCTAAGGTGCGACTTTCATTAGCTCGGCTGTACTTGAACCACCAGTATAAGATGAATATTTTTCACGAGTTTTTCATTTATAAATGAGAAGCAGCTGAATGTAATGTTCCTTAACAAGACATTGTTATCTGCAATATCTACAAAATAAATTAACTCGAATTAGATAACATTAGAATTATAATGCAGTACTCATAATTGATTAAATATTTATAATATCAAGATGAAACATCTTTCATAAAGAGTTTTGATTATTATTAATTATTCGTAAAATCAAAAATATAATGAGTTGTGTTTTTAATTTTAAGTAATATTTTTTCGCCTTATTAAAATACTTCTATACACGTAATGAAATTATCAATACTTATTATTCCGATATATATAGAAAGGATTAAAAAATTCCACGATGTTTTGTACATTTAGTTAAGATCGTCGGGTGGCTTATTGACTAATGCTTAATACACTTTTTTTTTTTTAATTACCAACTTGATTTTGATATTTCTATTTCTCTGAATTTTATTTTTTATTATCACCTTGCGCATTAGCTATATATATATATATATATATATATATATATATATATATCTTTTTATTTATTTTTATATTTCATCTTTATTTAGTATTTCGTATTCCTTGAGGTTACTAATGCCGTATTCCATTATCTCAATTGTTTGCATCACTTTATCTAATTCACAACTTTCTACTACTGCATTTCTTAAGCTAATTGGTTTTTTCCCCTGAATAGAAGGAAAAACGTATAACTATTATAAACTGATTATTTAAAAACTTTAATTATGTCCTTGCTAACTGCTCTTGGTACTCCATAGTTTGGCAAATATACACAGCCACTAGAGCCTTGCTCCATTATTTGCTTAAACTTAGACGAAATTTTGTTGAATTTGGCAATTCAGCAATAGACGCTATTTAGGACACTTTTGAGAACTCTACTGTCTTATAAATGTCATGAAAACCTCTTAACCAAAGTTCTTATTTGGATAATATCTCTTTTTGTTAAACTCGGTGTCTAGATAATCCGTGCGACGTCAGTCTGCCATTCCCCATGAAAACTGTTAGCTACTTTAATTCTTAAGCTCATTAAATTTTTTAACATTTCTGTCATGACTTTGAGATTATTTTTCTTCTAAACAGGTACGCGAATTCTGTTATTTAATTTGAAACATATAGTTTTGATCCAATTACAGCGTAGCAGAAAGTCTTTTTTACTAGAAAAATTTCACTTCGAAAAGGGAATTCGAAATAGATTACGAATTTAAATATCGCTACTCTTGTTATATTGTCATCGTGATGTTACGCATCAATAACAAATGGATAATAGCATATTAGCATAAAAAATATATCATATGAAAAGAAACATAGTAGAACAAAGTATGTATAAGTAACGCATTAAAAGTTGTTAAAATTAATTCATCATCAAGGAAGTAAAATTACGTTAAGAAAATCAATTGTTATTCCATTTTATGAACATTGTTTTTAACGAATTATAACTATTAACATCAATGCTAATGAAAGCACCGGTAGAAATTATATTATTTACCATTTACATGATACTTTGAAATAATTTAATTTCTTTAAATATCCGCCAACAAAAACAAAGCAATTGTTAGAAGCCTTTATATACAAATATATTTTGAATTTTATAGTAAGATTGTAATATCGTTTTTTTTTTTATACCGATTATAATTACTTTTTTCCATCGGTGAAAGAAAATGTAAATGCTATTTTTGTCCGTAAATAATATAATAATAACACGGTACGGCTTTTTTCTTAGATTTTAATTCATATAAATTAATTAAATATATTCATAACAGGCAGTAAATTTCTTTTCGATATTCTTTTCAAATTCATTATTCTGCAATTGAATAATGAATTATAGATGAATAATGAATCATTATATGAATAATGAATCATTATATGAAAAATAATGAATTAATGAATTATATATATTCTATTTATTGGTATATCAAATATCTTAGCTGCTCGTTACAGGGTTCGTTAAACTCGTACTGATGTTTCCTTTTTTATCTTTATCCACAAATTTTATCATTCCTGCAAAGAAATATCAAATCACCAAATCAAACTGTTGGATATAGAAGGCAACTGCTGTATCGACTGTACGTATTCGTTTATCGGACTTATTCATTTCTAGTCGTAAAACTTTTTCATTTGTATACTTTCTCTTCTGTAATTAAATATGAGACAATTTACTTAAAACAAAAGAAAAAAGTTTTTACTTAAAAATGTCTTTATTATCGAATTTTGTTTCAACATCGTTTAATAATATTAATAAAGCGCTTGTGACACCGTCCACAGTTTTCATAGGTTAGTGAATTTACATTGTATATTTAAAAATTCTATGCGGAAGATTATTATTAAACTATATCAACACAGCAGCATTATTAAGTAACTAACTATTTCAAATACTAATTATGTATTACGTATATTTAGTTAAGGTCTCTGAATTCATATTTACATTTAATATATTTTTCTAGAAGAATAAACATTTATTTAATAGATGCTGTTTTAACATTTACATTATAATTTTTGTTGTTTTTTTTAGTTATTATGTAAATTAAGTGCTTTACTAATGAGCATAAATTTTTCTTGTAGATTTTTGTCGTTTTGCTTCAAAAAAGTCAGGAACGTCGACTCAAAATGCTGGAAATTCAAAACCAAAGCATAGAGGTTGGCTGAAACAGGATGGTCATATCGTTCGAACTGGAACTATTTTAGTTAAACAGCGTACTACACGATTTCATCCTGGACTTAATGTAACATATATATTTTTATATATTATTTCATTGACATATTATAATTGTTGCCTGTATATATAAAAATTTGAAATTTAAATGAACATCTTGTTGTTTATATTTAGTCTTATATACATTCGGAACAACTTGCAAGTAGAATGTCTTTTTGAAACTGTCATTATAAAATTTATAGGTTGGATTTGGAAGAAATGGAAACTTGTATGCGCTTCATCCAGGGAAAGTTATAATAACATGTGAAAAAGCAAATCTGAACTGGGAACACAAATGGGTTAGAAGAAATTATCGAGGGCGACAAGATCAAACTATATATAAAAAGTACTACAATGTTATACCCGAACCCGAACACAATCGCTTTAAATTGATTGATAAAGTTTAAGAAATGAATTTCTTTGTACTATATAGTTTATTGTATTTATAATGTTAATAAATTGTAAATTTTTGAAAGATTTTTGTTAGAACTCTCCCATCGATGAATCTGCCCATCTAGAGGAACAGTATTCGATGCGTTCACCATCTGTTGATAATGTTGCAAAAACCAAGGTTTTTCTTACATGGCTCCCAATACGACTTCCCGCAACAAGTTCCGTTACAGACATTTCTTCGTTCCTATTTTTACAGTGAATTAACAATTGAGAGTGAAACATAATGGGATCACCTGTAAATCGTTTTTATTTTTATTATGAAAAACCGAATGAAATATCCGTTATGTAATAATAATTTATAAATTACCCGGATATGCTAAAAAATCACAGCCAAACTTCTGCCCACTAGTTACGTAATAACCTTGTTCCCAAATATCTTTAAATACTTTATATTTCAGGGATTCTTCGTCGTTAGAAGGAAAAGACCAATTTTCTATCTTAATAATATCAGTGTGCCACGGAAATGCTAAAAAGTTTTTTGTTTTGTTTATACAGTTTTCAAATGTGGTAATATTCTAATATTTACCGGTATGCGTTTGTACTAGTGCATCGGTCATTTTTAATTTTGGTAGCTTGGACATTTCTTCCTCGATTAAAGCTTTTCTATCAACTTCTACATTATCTAATGCAGTTTTTGTTTCATCATCAAGAGGTTTTTTTAACTTCTTTTTCCTTGTATGCAATCCCAAGGTTTTTCTCTTTTTGCCTTCTATAATTTTATCCATTACAGATAATACCTAAATAATAATGTTAAGTAATTTACTTTACATGTACAAGCGACTTAAGCTGTTAAAGAATAAATATACCTGTATCCGCCTTTGATCGATTAAACATTCCTGTTGCTCCTCATACAATTTACTCCTATATTCTTCAAACTTTTTTTTTAAAGATTCACAAGGTGTTTCTTTTAGTACTGGATGCTGAATTAGCTGACATATGCCTTTTTCTAATAAAAGTTTCGCTTCTTCTGGAAGTAAAAGCATGGGCAAGCCAGAAAGAGTATCTTGTCTTGGTTTTTTTGCAATACATCCAATACATTCCCCAACTACTCTATGCTCCTGTCTTAATTTTAACCAATCTACAATTTAAGATAAGTTATAAAAAAAAAAGTCCGATATTATTGTTAATAATATTATTGTAAGTAAAAAAGATTAACAAGAAGTACCATCTGCACTCCAAACGAAGACTTCGGATCCAGATAATACTAAATTAATTTTTGAGTCATCCATTATGACAGAAAGTGTAGTCTAGAAAATTGTATCTTTAATACATTTTAATTGCATTAAACGAATTTAATAAATATCGTACATTAAGTTATAAGAAAGTAATAAATAAGTTACATAAATTGTTTCCACAATTTTTCAATTAACCTTTCAATATAGAAATTGGAATAATCCAAATTAGTATTATGAATTTAATATACATTATTACATAAATTATATCGTGATTGTGAATATAATAATTGAAGAAAAAAAATTTCTTGACATAATTTATAAATAAACAAATGAAAGTACAATGATAAACTATTCGTAAAACATGACAACATTGTTCAAATATTAATATACTTTATTAATTTACTTTTAAATTAAAACATTTAATTGTTCGTAAATATTCGAAGCTTTTTAAATATCATCTGCACAAGCACAACTGAAAATAAAAGAGAAACTCAATGTAAGTAATTAACAAATAGTAGTTGTAAAACAATAATGGCCGTGGATTACAATACCAAATAAAAGTAAACTTGACTAGTTAAATGTTTTCATTATATGCTTAACACATTAACCTTACAAAACCATTTCGCAAAATATTTGAGAAATGATTTTGAATATGCAATATGAGCAAATGGCAAATTCTAGAAGCAGACTATTGGTAAACATACGCATTAATCTTAATGACTAACCTTATCTTATCCACTTATCCAATTGCAAAAGTCGAAATTCAAATTGAAGTACAATGTTTAACTATCCAAATGGGAATTAAAATGATGGATCGAAGAATATGAGGGAGCATGAGGAATAAATGGCTGACAACTAAAATGGCAACCAAATAGGCTTAATCCCTCATTGTACGTGCCTACTGTTAAATTAAAATTCATTTGGATCATCAAGTATTACCTTCTCATTTAAATGTAAAAGCACACTCGTATGAAAGCATTAAGCACGACTTAACAATTGCATTTTTTGCTTAATCATTCATTTACTATATAATCTATATAATTCATAATACAATTATCCAAAGTGGATTATACGTCGAGGATTAATTGGGAGTTCCCAAGATCATTAAATGTATTGCAATATATATTATAATCGGCTGATTATTATAAAAATAATTGCATATTAATAATACAGATTATTCAGATTCTTGGTTAATAGTGATAATGTATTTCGTCAGATGTCGTAACCTGTCATTTTCCATAGACGAAGGCTTTGTTCCTCTTACTTGGCCGCACAATATCTTCGATTTCTCTCTCTCTCTCTCTCTCTCTCTCTCTCTCTCTCTCTCTCTGTTTAAATATTGAATTGAAGGGATTCGTGAGCGCTATAGTTTAATATGGGCAGTAAACTATACCATTCGTCGCTAGGTAATCCAATAAAATCATAACATTGACTACAAATCATATAGTAGACCTTTTCTTTAGATCTTGCTTTTATTAGATTTTTTTATTTGAGTATTTTTATCGTTGATTTCAGTTCTTTTTAAACAAGTGTAAGTAACGAAAATTATTCGAGTTAAAATATTAGCTTATAATGTTTTTATAATGTAATTGTATTGCAATTGTTGTGTATCAAGAAATAATAACGTGAACTAAATGGCAATTTTTAAGTAGCAATCACAAGTATATAATGTTTGCTTTGATTAAAAATATTTTCCCATCTAATTAATCGCTATTGAGATTACTTCTTTTCATATTATAATCCAGAATAAGCAATAAATGTAAATTAATTAATTTACGAAACTTTCATACAATTAATAAATAACACGGTAATACGAATAATGCTATTTCGAATAAAAAAATTATTTATATTACATACACAGTCACAGTGCGTACATAAATATAATTGTCTTTTTATATACTTCAATTTCAAATCAATATCATTCGAATCAACTCGAATGTCTTTATGTTTATTATATTTATGTACTTTATTTTACATTTCGTTGATTATTATTTCTATATCTTTAGGTGTAACATGAAATTAAAACGATTTGTCAACAACTGAAAATTTTTTGAAACGATTTTAAGAATGAAGAAGTTACGACGTTTTAAGTAAAATTTAAAGTAAAATTATTTCACAGCAATTCGCATTAAATTAGACTAATATTAATAATAAAGTGATAATTAAGAATAAATAATTTTATATATATTGTAGCTAAAATATAAAAATTTACACACCTAATTATGATAAATTTTATGTGAAACTAATATTGTAGAGAAATAAAAAATAAAAATTAATATTTTAGGTTGAAACTAAATTTGAATTGGAATAATCAATAATAATAAAAAAAGGACGATATTATTTTCAATTACAACATAATGGATAAATTAGTATTAAAAGAAATACACACGCGCGCGCGGACACTCACGCACTCACACACGCACACGCACGCACGCACTCACACGCACACACGCACGCACGTATGTGAGAGACTTTAAATATATAAAAAAGATTTTTTTCTATATAATTATATTATTAATATTGTTACAGTTTTCTTCCTTTCGAAAGAATTAATCATACATTTCAAATGAATAATACCATTTATTTTGTGCGCAATTTTATTGGTTAAGAGCTGAAAAACAAAACTGCCAATTAATAAAAAATAAATGACTGCTATAAATTAAATGTAATATTATAAAAATGTTTATTAGCGATAGTTCTACTATAAACATAGCGAATGAAATATTTTTATATAAGTTTTATACAGTAGAATATTCAGCTTTTATTAAATTTAGTTAATTTAGAATTCTCATATAAATACATTAATTTAAGAAGCAGTTTTTATAATTAAAATGGAAAGCTCAATCAAGAAGAAAAAGGATTTGATAAAGGGACGTTCTAACCCTGAATTAATTGTAAGTAAATTGTACGTTTTAAATTTCACTACATTGATAATAGGTAACGAATTAACGAAGGTGAAAATAACTTCTTTACAATTGTTGCCTATTTATAAATTACAACTTTGTTGTTATAAACTGTTATAAAACAAAAATATAAACAATATATATTTGTAACAAAGACAAAATGTAAATTTCTCATGGTGTATTTTATTTATTTAGCAAAAGTTTTAATTTGTGTAAATTATTTATAACTAGATTGTAAGTCTGTTTCTTTATGAGATTTCCAAATGTTTTATAGAGTATAGAGCATGTCAATACACAATTAAAAGGAAAACTGAAAATATTAACATCAGAAATGAAAGATGGCGTAAACAGAATGAATTCTCTGACATTAGAGCTGAACAGAATTCGAAATGATAATCAATTATTTAAGGGTTTGTTTTAATGGAATTTTAAAAACTTGCATTTTACATTCGTACAAAATATTTTCACTTACTTTATTCAGAAATATTTGTTTTGCAGTTCGATTTGCTGAACTAGAGCAAGAAAATGCTCTCCTCGTTTCTCAAATCGACGAAATGGTGAACGAGCAAACAGAAAGAGACGCTATTATTAATGAATTTGGAACAGCCGTTGAGACACGAATCACCGAATGGAAGGTACGGGATCTAAAGCAATATTATTATTATATTTTCAAAAATCTCAACGACGTATCAGCTTTTCATTATATTTAACTTTATACATAAAATATAATATAACAAGAATTTCTGATTTCTTCTGATACAAGTAAATATTCGTACTACTTGAAAATTTAGTATACTCGATAAGATGAAAAATTATTGTAAGTACTTTTTCAATAATGTATAATTTAATTTAATGAAAAGACCATAGTTTGTAAACTATGTTTAAAATTGTTTTATATAAATAGTAAAGCGAGAGCAAAGTTATATTGAAGATTTTTGCGCCATAAAAGCCATTTTTAAGTCATTGGTCTAATCAAATTCATAAGTTCTTATATTAAGTTTTGCTAGAAGCAATATGTTGCAAACCCTGAAAAAGTTGAACATTTCTATTTTAAAACTATATATTAAACTATTAAAATCTGTGCTTTTCCAGCAGATTTATTAATTTTGGCAACTAATAAAATCAACCTACAGCCCATTAAATTTAAAACGAAATTAATCATTATAATGTTATAATCTGTGTATTCTGAATTTACCAATATTTATAAATATAACCTTTTTATTATTACGATCTATTTTATAAGATAAAAACAATTTAATAAACGCTGCTTTTTAACATCTAGTACTTTCACCTAATTTATTGTGATAATTAGAAGCTAAAATGTTTCAATAAAAAATTGCATAGAAAAACAGTTTTCAAAAATATAATCTAGCCTATGTGCATAAAATATTCTTCGTGCGAATTAGTTTTCATTAATGCATGAAATCTTTTGTTCTTATCAAACTTATGATATCTTGAAAAATGAAAGAAAATTATAAAAAATTAAAAAAAAAAAAAATTTAATTATTAATTTTCTCCGTTAAATTGAATTAAATTATTGAATATTGAGGCCCATTATACTAATGCATCATCTTGATTTCTTATCAACTTAATTCCAGGATATTTTAGATGAAAAAGATGTTACTATTGCGAAACTCAAGGAGAATCTTTTATATTCGTCGTCCGATAAAATTACGAATGCTTCGGGTGACGAAAATAGTCGCATAAAGATCGAGCGATTGATCAAAGACATCAATCATCGGGATGAAATAATAGCTGAACTTCAAAACAAATTATCCGAGGCTGTGATTGAGTTAAACGAAAGCAGCTTATTGTTTGAGAAAGTTAAATCTGACCACAAAACGTAAATAGCTTGGGCAATACTGAAAATTTTTTTAAAACAATTTAAAATCACTTTTTAACATTATAAAAAGTATACACTATTTAATAGCTTGATGATTTCGTTAAAATTATATATCTAATTAAATTACATTTAATAAAATATTTTAAATTACACTATTATTCAATAAAATTTTTATAATTAAATTACATTCAATAAAAATGCAAATGAAAAATAAACGAGTGCATAAATATAAAGTGTGTATTTTCATAAAATTTCTTAGGAACGACAGTGTTAAGCAGGGTAGTAAAGATCGCCGTGAGATAAATAAAAAAATGCAAGAAGCAAGTAAAAAAGTAAGTGTTCTGGAAAATTTATTGGAACGCGCTGAGAATGATGCGAAAATTAAAAGTGAACAGGTACAAAGATAATTGAAAATTTCCTCCCAACAACATTACATTATAATATTTAATTATTATTTTTCTTCAGTTATGTGATGCGCTGGCAATTCTAAATAAATACGAGGATGAAAATACGAGTTTAACGGAATCACTTGGGGAAATTAAGGAACTAAAATTTCAAGTTAAAAAGAAGTGTAAACACATCGAGGACATGGTAGATATTATTAATAAGCTTGAGCTTGAAAATTCAAGATTCGAAGAAGTAATAATTATATTGCGGTCGGTAACAGGATAAATATTATATAATTTATATACTTTTCCATCAATTACTGAATTAGAAATAATTCAAAAAAAAATTATTTCTCGTAGAGATAAATTGGGAGTTACAAAACACGAAGAATCTTTAATAGAGGACTTGATTCTGCAGCGTCAAGAATCGCAGAAGGAAAAATTTAACGAAATGCAAAGGGAGAATAATCGACTGACTGGTGAAAATGCGGATTTAAAATTTCAGGTTGGATAAACGATCAAATATGATAAATGGAATTGATGAAGTTATTATCAGATCTCAAAAATATTTGCGCCCATATGAATACTCGTGATTCTTTAAATCATGGCAATTCTTAATAATGCAACATATTTTACAATCAATTTTACATAAATCCCTTCGGGTAGCCCAACAAGTAGTTTAATAAATTTATTGATAGTCGTACGATATAAGAAACAATTGAGTTTGCTTAATAATTTTGTGGTTCAAACGAAGGATAAAATCGAATAATGAATCGTTGAACGAACGAAAAAAATACAAATAATCACTATCGGTTACAAGACCATTTACTTTTTAAATATAGAATATGTATATAAATTTGCATATTTGATTGTTGTTTAGTTAAGAAAGGTGAAAGCAACGTTTAAAGAATCCTTGAAGAATAAGCTTAACGCAGCCAACGATGCGTCCAATGGCAATGATAATGTTGAACGACTAAGTAGCGATGTGAAATCGAAGCAAGAGCTAGCGGAATTGTATCGAATTAAAGAAAATGTCAAATGGGTTATCGAAGAGAACGAAGCTCTGAGACAGGGGATGCACGAAATATTAGACTGTATTCATAAACAAGATGGTAAATTGATAAATATATATGTTTGCAAATATTTCATCGTTAATTATCGTTAGCGTTTAATGCTTTATTAACTTCGAACATTTAAGGTAAAAGTGTTGTTACGATACAATCTCAAACGTTGGAAAATCTTTTGGAAGCCTTGGATGCACGACATTTGGCTGGTTGGTATCATCCGGCAATGAGGTTACAGGGACGCGTAAACTATTTACAAGGCAGCAATGCCGAATTAAGAGCACAACTTCAACAAATAAGGTTAAGACATGGATCAAACGACAGCACATTGTTAAACTTATTTTTTATTATTATCGATGAAATTTCTAAAAAAAAAAAAAAAAAAAAAAAAAAAAAGACGACGATACAATGAAGTTTGCCAAGATCTTCGTACAATGCTGAATAATGTATTTGTTAATTTATCATATTGTAGGAAAAATCAAATGCTATTTCAAGCAGACGTACAGTTGACAGTGGGTAGCGTCGAAGAAGGTGAATGCACTCAGCAAAGGCATTCCACGAGAAATATAACACCAGATGGTAAGATACGTATATCGATCTTCACTGTATTTGAGCAAGTTAGTAGCTTTGAGTAATTTTGTAAGCAGAATTGTATTTGTCGAAGCGCAGATTCGGGAAGAGCATCGGGAAAAGCAGTGGAAATAGACGATATACAAGAGACCGAGGGCTCTGAAAATACAAAATCATCCGAATCGGGTAGCGAGCTGGCTATGGATGACGAAGAATTTGGCAAATCGGAAGAAGTATACTCGATGACGAAAGAAGTAATTGCCCAAGAAGGTGATTTTAAGCAAGCGTTAACGGACTCCATAAAACATCAGAAGATCCTGGAATATCAATTAATGACCCTTCGCAAAAACCTAGCGAATTGTATTTCCCCGGAAATTTACAATGAACTGAGAGGGAAGTATTTGGAAACAAATATGCGGCTACGAGCAGCTTTTGAGAATAAGCTTGCAATAAGCGACATGGAAGGAGAGACCAAGGCGATTGAAGTTATGAGGAATAAAGTCATACAGGAGCAGCGAGACGAGTTAATTTCCGTGCATAAGCTATTATCGGAATTGACGATACAGCAGCCTGAAAATACATGGGGTGCAGAAAAGAAAATTGTGGAAAAGCTGGAGAGTCGTATCGTAGAATTGACAGTGGAGAACGATGCATTGCAAAAGTCCGCGGAAATAGCGCGTGAAGAGACTGTGATACATCGTGCCATCGATTCGACCGTTCTAACCGAATTTAATGATTTGCGACAGCGGATTTCGAAACTAGAGGCCAACGAGGAGCAAGAATTAAAGAAAACCGCACAAATTTCACTCGAGCTTGCGAATTACAAAGTAAAGGAAATTGGTCTGCGAGAAGAAAAGAAGCTTCTGGAAAATGAATTGCTAAGAATGCGAGACGAACTTGCGAATTCTCGAAAACGTCAGAGAAATAATGGAGAATTATGCGAAATGAATGACAAGCAAATCGATATCAAGTAAGAAAAACGTTTATCTTCGATTTAAAAAAAAAATATTAAGAAAAAGAAAAAGAAAAAGAAAAAGAAAAAAAAAAAAAAAAAGAAAAAAATCTCTCAATTTGTCTAATATACGATACAACGGGATAAATGCATAAAATGCCATTGATTGTTGGCTTGAAAGAAAAATGATGTGTACGCTTAATAAAGCAATTCTTCTTTTCAATTAATATCCTTTCAAGAATAATTAAACGTGAATAATTATTATAATGCTATTACATTACAGGGATTATATCGAAATAATAGATATTCTGCAACATCAGTATGCTGGCTCGACATCGCTCAGTGCCTGGGAAAGATACGAGGCTAATTCTAATCAGCTGAGGAACGATCAAAATGAAGTGAAAAAATTGATAATTAAAATAAACGATCAGAATGAAAATCTTAAGATTCAGCACGAAACGCTTGCAAGTAGATTGCAAATTGTTGAGCAATTGAAGGATATATTGGAGCAACAAATTGGCTCTAGCGACGTCCAAGATATTATGCAAAAGTTTACGAACGAAACAAAGCTAATACTCGCGGTATGCGTTACGTATTAAGAAAATCTACATTAATAACAGCTAATAACGCTGATAAATTTGCCAAAATAATACGTACCTTTGTTATTTTTAGGAATCTCAGTATAAAACAACGATAAATCAATTGGAAGAGGAGATGAAAATTGCCAATAAACGCCTGTCCGATTACGAGATTAAAGTAGCATCGATGGAGCAAGAAATAAATAAAGCGCAAAAAATTTGGACCGTCCAAAAGATTTCGAGTATTAAGCGACCTCTTACCCTAGATAAAATAATCGAGACAGACGCGAGAATCGATGGAAATGCCAGGTGTAAACAAACGGAAACCAAATCTTCGCAGACTCGAGTGAACATGCATTCGGTCGAGGTGCAGTGTATGCCTTGTGAATCGACAAGCATCAATGTCCCAGACGACGTAGAAAAAGATGTAGACGACAGTGAAATCGTCACGATAATTCGAGAAAGTAGCGAGGAAACATTGCTCAAAGGTACAGCTTCGATTGCTATTAAACAATACGTCGTCTATCTTATAATTTGGAAAAATCGGAAAATCGACTGAAAAAGTTTGAATTCTAATTAAACTCTCAGATACAATAAAATGCGGTAAATACAATTTCATTTATTTACACTAGCCAATATGAAGAATTTTTACAACCTTTTGAAACCAGTACGTGCGATTATCCAAATATACGCGCTCCAAAGACAACTGATATAAGAAAGCGCTTAGGTATTATCCGTTTAGAAGATGAGCTCGCTTTCCGTGATAAAAGCGGAAAGTTTTTAGGGCAATAATCAAGCGAGTCGAGCGACGAATGCCCTTTCTCGAGTCTCCTGTTATTTACGCAACGCCTCTAATTAAATTCAGAGTCATCTATCGTCACATTAGATGTTAATCTAGCCGTTACCTAGTTTAGTACTACGAGATGCATCGAGCAGTAAATACGATAGGTATTGAGGGGAGAGTTAAGGCTTTAACCGACAATCCGATAGATAAACTCCCTTGAGTACTTTAGGCCCGTCGGCCCGGGACACCCATCACTCTACCAAAGCCTTACGCGAGAAATCCGAAAAACAGGAGCAAACTAAAAAAAAGAAAAAAATGATATAAGAAACAAATGATGATGAACCTCCCAACAGGTAGACTGGCGTTGCTGCAGGAACAGTTGGGCCAGGCACTAAACCTGGCCTCGGAACGCTCGATCGCCCTCTCCAAGTGCGAGTCCCAGTTGGCGGAGTACAACACGAGGAATGCCACCCTAGTGAAGCTGCTGGATGAGAGGAGCAACGCTATGGTCGCCGACCACGTTGAGGTACTTGCGGAACTCTCCAAGGCCGAGGAGATTCGGAGATCCGGGCCGACGAGCCAAGAGGCCCTCCAATCGACCGTCAATAGCCTGCGTAAAATTGTCGAGCAAAAGGAAGAGACGATCGCTCGGTACCAGAACCTTTTGAAGGAGGATCGTGATATACACAATGAGGATGCGACCAGACTACACGAGGAGATTAAGTGCCTGAAGAAGCAGATCTCCGTGTCACGACCAGCCACTCGTGACGACGATAACGCGCTGTACGCATAATTCCCATACCCGCTCTCTGTCCTGGGCCGCCACGCCCAGCTCATCCCAGCCATTGATTTGGCTTTTCGTTCGGCTCCAAGATCCATGTTCTATCGCGTAAAGTAGCATAAGCATATAGCATTCCCTAATAGAAAAATCTAATTTGAAAGGATATTTAGGAAAACGTAGGGATCGCGTGATAGCAAAAACTGAGCTGCATAATTAAGTCGAACGGTTAAAGTCGTAAAAAAAATTTTCTCGCTAATGTACATTTGGATGCTTTTTTTTTATTTTCATGATAATAGCTGAGATTACAAACCATCAAAGTAGTATTGTAATAATGCTTCTTACGTACGGATTTATTAAATCTCCATCAGTAGTAATATTTGCTCGAGTCGGTAGTCCTAGTTTCTTTGCTTTCGAAAGTCGTGGAAAGCCGCTGAAACGAATGAAATTAATACAATAAATAGATAAGCTTTAAATCCCTGCACAATGGCAATGTATAAAAAGCTTTTAATAAGTATGCCGAATAAATAATCGAATGGTACATTACTTTTAATAGTGCATTTGTAGTGAAGCAATTACATCTTAGGTATAGGAATGGTATGCGCGGCATCTTTATACCAATTCGTTTGAATACATTAAACTTTTTCTTAGAAAATCTTTCATTGCAATTCCTCAACGACAATATTAAACTCTGAATCGCGTAATACCTTAAAGTTTCGTCCTGGAGTCCTGGAGTCACCCTTGCAACGATAATACAGCACACTGATATAAGAATGTTCCTTTGACCTCTCAACTGCAGAATTGCGAATTCCGAGTACTCGGAGAAGGACTGGACTACCGTGGAGCTGGTGAAGAGCGAGAGAAAATCAGAGGAGGCGTCTATCCTGAGGGAGAGAGTCTCCAGACTGGAAACGGAATTGAGTATAAGCGGTGAGCTGGCGGATAGGTGGCATCGATTGGCCGACGATAGATTGAGACACATGGATAGTACGAGAGAGAGGTTTGTTTCGACGACGATAGATGCGACGACGATTGTCAGTTAAATTAACCAGGCGTCATCTTTTACTTCTTTTAGCACGAATAGCCTTATTACTTGAGTGCAATAAAACAAAAAAAAAACAAAAAAAAACAAAAAAAAAACAAAAAAAAAAACAAAAAAAAAACAAAAAAAAATACAAATTTCTTATGTAGGGATATTTCTATAGGCTTGTGTGTGCCTGCATTATATATTCGTATACGTGGATGTATTTACACAGATAGCCCTTATCTATACTAAACTGTAAATTATAATTTTTGCATAATATTAGACATTACGATGTTAAAATCTTTAAATACTTTAGCCAAATCTATTCTATTCTTAGGTACATCCGTGTATTTATATTCCAGGCTCAAATCAAGAAATAGAAAAAACAAATTTCTAAAATTAGAATTTAAACCTGAAATTTATGCTATACGTGCACTTAATTATTATTATTGTTATTTAATTTTTAATAAAAGTCATGAAATACATAGGTCTTTATCACATTTATTTTACAAATTAATAGGATAAAAATAAAGGAATAAGAATATGAAAGTAACGATTAAGTAATAATCGATCATAGAAAACTGACTGTTTCATAAACATTGGACATCATAAATTTTTAGTAAATTTAAGCGGACGAAAAGAAATAAATTGATACTGGCATGTTTTAATATTATCTATTAATTTATATACTAAATTTTCGATCGACGAAACAGATTAGAGGATCAGCATAAAGAAGAAATTGACAGTTATCGAATGGAATTGAATAAGCGAGAGAGTGAAATAGATGAATTACGACGTCAGTTATTAGAAAGTCGTCGTGCATTTACTACAAAAACCGAAGTTCTATCATTTATGAAGACACTTCAAATAAAAGATAATCGTTTAGCCGATGAAATCGAAGTAAATCACTTTTATAGTTTAAAGAATAATTTTTTTTTTCGTTTTTGTTTTGTTAATACATTAATTGCTATAATATTGCTTTTTTCTTTATTTCCGTACAGAATGAACTCGAAGAGCACATGGTAATTTCCTCTAAGCAAATTCCTATGACGCGCGATGGCGAGGATCCGCGACATCTCGAATTTGAACAATCGTCAACCCAATTAGATAATTTACGAAAGCAGGTGCAAATATTAATGGAGAGAGAGAAATCATATAAAAGTAATATTACTGAATTGCAACAGCTTCTAAGTCGAAAGTACGTATTATAATCTTAATAATAATCGAGTTCAACGTGAATAAAATGTAAAAATAGTGGTAAAAGGAATATAAATTTGTAGAAGAAAAAATATGGCAATAAATTATTTGGTTCTGTTTTTCTCAATAATTCAGATATATGGCTAGTAAGAGTCAGGAGAAAAAGGTATCGCGGCGTGAAATGCAACTTGAGCGAAAGGTGAAAGAGCTGGAAAAAGAGCTAAGTGAAGCCAGGGAAATGTTAGACCGGCATTTCATGATGCAACAAGCAAAGAGAGTCAAGGTAACAAATTTTTTTAAAAAAAAAAAAAATCTCAATCTACATTCTACAGCTCTAACGTACTTACTTAATATAAATACAATTCTTAATTGCTACTTTTATTGCTTATTTAACAATAATATAGCAGTATTATTGTAATAAGTTGTTTAATAAAGAGACGATAGTCCACGTTATCGTGCAATTACAAATTTATTTTAAAAAAACTAATAATAATAATAATAATAATATTAAATGTTATAACGAACAAATATCTTGCCACAATTATCGTAAGGAGAAAAATTTCTTCTACTTCTTATCGGTTATTACACGAAATATTTCCTATATCAACAGACAGCCGAAGATTTAGGTTTATGGGAAAAATTAAAAAAATGGCAACAGACAGCTGAAAAGCTGAAGGAAAAATTGAAAGAGAAATCGGACGAGTGTCAAAGATTGCAAAACAATTATGAAAAATTGCGGAATCTCATATCGTGCATTGAGCGAGAAAAGTGGTTCCTTAAAGGAAAGTACAGAAACGAAAGTATAGCAATACCTGCCTGGATGCCGCCACCCGATCTATCACAAAATCATGTTATTATTATAGAAGACTTGCAGAGAGAATGTCAGGAATTAAGGGAACGCGTTAAAGAATTGGTCGATCGTTTGAATTATCAAGACAATGAGAAAAGTGACGATAATGAAAATATGATATCTCCTTCCGATGGTATCGAGGTTTGTACCATTCGCTTATCTAAGACTGCAGCATATATTAAGATTTTATCTAATGATAAATTTAACGTTATCGAGCTTGCGATATTAATATCCTTATACATTTAGATTATATGCAAATAAAGTTTCGATTTATTATCTATAAGTTTTTTTTTTTTTTTTTTTAATATACGGTTAAGTAGGTAAATACATCAGCAGGTAAAATATTTAAACTTTAATAGGATATTTCATAATAGTAGGGTAAATTGGAATTAATCTATGGATATTAATTCTCATCATCCTAGGTGAATAATCTTTTCTTTTTCCATTTGTAACTGTTCTCTTTTTCAAAATGTACGTATTAAGTAATTAATTATAAGTACAAGTATTACGAAATATAATTTCTACACAGCATTTCAAAAGTGTGGCAATTCACTTTGTTGTATTAATAAAATTATGTATGATGCAAATGAATTAAGTTTTAAGAAAAGGCCGAGTCGCAAAGTGAAAGCTAAGATTATCTATAATTAAAGCCTTATTTCAAAAACTGAGTAATTGAATAATTTTTCGTAATAGGACTAAAAGTAAAAAAAGCAACGAATGTTTAATATTATATAATGATTGATCGAAGGTGGAGGAATATTCAAATAATGAATTGAAAAGACTGAGCGATGTCGATGAAGTATTGGAAAAGGAGAATCTTAGATTAGAAGCGGAAAACTTTGAGCTGAATTTAGAGCTTGAACGGGCCAACTTGAATTTGCCAAGGTACCAAGATAAGATACAGCACTTAGAAAAGTAAGGGAAACGGCAACATATGTATGTTAATAAATAAATTAATATATAAATATAAATGTATGTATACGTTCACGATATATATATATATATATATATATATATATATATATACATATACATATATGGGAACGTGTATGTAGATGTATAGTTATATAAAAATATATCGATATTTATTGTGTTCGTATATGTGATACGAGTTGCTTTTATTATAGCATGCCTGAAACATCGCTAATCGATGCCAGTAATAAGCAAGCTTCATGAATATAGTGTAGTTAGAGTGGGATGAAAAATAAAAATTTTAAAATATGAATACGCAGGTACATAGAATTGCTAAAGTCGGAAAAGTCAATAGAGCCGTGTTACACGTCGGGCCCGACGAAGTGCGACAGCAACAACCAGCGCACGAAAAATGAGCTCGAGCGAACGGTTCTCGCCCTGAAGAATCTCGTCGAGAAGCTCCAACAAGACAACAAGACGCTGCGCCAATCGTTTTCCAAGGAGGAAGTGGAATCGTGCCGCGACTGTCGCTACGTAAGGGCCGAGTGGGAGCAAAGCGAGCGCCGCGTCAGGGTCTTGGAGTCGGAGCTCGAGCTCGCGGAGAAGAGGATGAGATTGGCGGAGGAGGCGGCACTCGAGAGATCGAGTGACGATGGTTCCGAGGAGGCGGCCATCCTCAGGGAACAGCTCACCCGTAAATCCGAGCTGCTGCTCAAGGTCAAGGACCTACTCGCCAAGGCCGCCCTCAACGAAAAGGCCCTGCGCCAGCGGGTGAGTCATCCCCTGCTCGTCCCAGACTCCTTTTGTTTCTGTAGCTTAAAGTTTATTTGCCGGTGCTTGGGAGGCTGAGCGATCATTTACTTTTTTATTGACAGTAGCAGCATTTTATGCTTTCTCACTTTCTTTATACGTCTCGGGGATAAGGTGCAATTTGCAGTATTCACATGATGATTTGAGAAACCAAGAGCTAATGAATCGATGTATTTTATACTTTTACCACAATTCAGACGCTCGGGATATAAACATTAGACATATGCAAATGCTTCGCTTCACACTGCTTAATGGCAAGATAATTCGCGAAGCTTACGCGGACGCGACAATGAAACATTAAAGCTAAATTCAATTTATCGTACGCAACGCGCAAATTCAGATATTAAAAATTTCGAGTATTTTTAAAGTAAGGTAATTTACGATTCTAAATATACTATTGTGTGTTGCTAAAGATTGTCAATTACCTAAGGAACTTTGTACTTCAAATGTTAAGACGCTTTTAGTCTTATATTAACGCCCAATAACTTTAAATAAAAGATTTTCCGTATGAGGGTGTTTCACATAATAATTTGCTTATCCACGAATATTTAAATAAAGCAATTTTTTTATTATGCCTTTTAATAATGACAACATTTACAGTATTGTGCTTTCTCAATTGACATCAATAGCTTAAAACTATTTATGCATATATTTATATATTTTATAGATAACTGAGATTAAATTAAACTGATTGTTTTACTTTGTGCGCTTCGATCGTTAAAGTTCATTCTTTTTGTAAAATCACACTGATGTTAAACGGTAATACATAACACTTCGAAAATTTCTTCTCGCAGCACTTGCAATTTAAAAAATTTCTATTTCAACATATTGAACGGACAGAATATCAATCCATCAATCCTTAATATTTCAATATATTTGACAAATATAATCATTAATTAATAATCATTAATTGGAAATACACGTTGAATACATATTGAAGTGAAATTAAATGTAAAATGCACATATTTTTATTTAAATTTGCAGATACAACAACTTGAATTCAAACAAACGCTTTCTATTATACCAGAATATGGATCATCGCTAGAGATGACGTAAAACTATTTTCTTACAAGTCGGCGCTCAATATTTTTTATTATAAATATAATATAATTAAATTAACATTTTGTACAAAGTATATAGGTATTTTTTAAATAAGTATTTTTAAATAATTGTATTGTAATGTATAATAAAATGTTTGATTATGAACTTTCATGAGAAACCGAGTCTAATCAATAGATTTTTATTTGCACAGAAAATTGAAAGGCATCTTTGCACATTGACATTAAAATTAGTAATACGTGATAAAAAGAGAAATAAAAACATTAAAATAAAAAAAAAAACGCACACTTATTACTTTGTATAAGTACCCTTGGACGGGTAATTATTGTCCTTGCTATTTCATTGAACCTCGTTTAAGTTGGTGATGAAAGGAGCTAACGAGTCGGGATCCTCGACGTCCGGAGTCATCTTCCCTTTAAATTTCACGCAATATTCATCACAGAGTTGTACGTCGAAATAGATGCCCAGAAACTTTTTACATTGCGAGCAATTGCGAAAACACGTACCTACAATAAAGCAATTAGAGTGATTTTAATAAAGGTACATTTCTTCTTCTTTTTTCTTTTTTTTTTGTTCTTTTTTGCTTGGCACAATCGACACTAATTTTAATGTATCGAGTATCATACATACCAATTGAAGGATGAGCAACAATTATCGTAATGAAAACAACGTAAATCATGAGTGAAGTAAGGAAGAGACGCTTTGTGAAAATCATAACTGTATCTATCTAGAAATAGAAATGTTAATCTCACTTATAAATACAAACACTTTTATACCTTCATAATTGAAGTTATATTTAAATTTAGCAAAAAAAACATAAAGAGATTATTCACACTAATGACATTCAATTAAATAACATTCTTTCACTAAAAGTTTTGATTTAGCACTTTCTCCAGTATTACAAAATATTTAATAATGTTGACGAAAAATCTGGAAAAATTAAAAATTATAATAATTACTACTTACGAGTAAATAAACAAATATCTACAGCTAGTGGCAGCACGTCTTTTCAAACTAAAAATGATACCACTAACGATTCAAAGAGAATTTATATAGGCTTTTGTCTTACCAAGGGAGCAATGGTTTCTTTCGCGTAATAGTCTCCAGGAGCGATTCCTTTCGCACTAATTAAATTTGATTTGCGAAAAAGCAAAAAAAAAAAAAGTACGGGAAAAAGCTTTAATAAATATAAGACATAGTGATTTATCTGAAATATGATATTATTATCTTGAAAATTATTATATATATTATATATATATATATATATATATATATATATATATATATATTTAGAATATTGAATAATAAGTACGCTTATATTATAAATAAATAAAAAAATTTCAGCATACACAAAAATACCAATAATTATATATATATATATATATATATATATATATATATTTATTAATATTCGTTTTAGAGATACAAGGTGTATTGAATGGATAAATGCATATAATTTAATCTGAAATTCTTTGTATTCTTTTCATTTAATAATAGCAATGGTACAAAGAACATATAGAAAATGCCTCTAAAAAATCCCTCGATGCTATTCTTAATCTTTGTGTATTAAGTACTTACGGTAGTTCGTCTTCACAGTAGTTGCATCAGACAATGCAAGTACTAAATATTATATTATCGTAAAAAAAAATGTTATAGGTAAGTGGATATCGATTTATAAATAAGAAAGCTATACAATGCATAAAGATTAACGATGATTAACTATGACAATGAAATAAAAACATACCCAGTTATCGCATTTTCAAAATCGATAACTCTTACACAACCAGTAACTTTTCTCTTTTTATAAAATAGATTTAAGTATAACTACTTTTTTAATCAACTTATCTCATAACCATGACGCAATAGTTTCATTTCGACGAGAATATTTCTTAGTTACGTAGAGATTATATATAACCAGCCAATATGAATATTTAAATCGTATGCGTGAAAGATTATTATTTTGAAATTAATTCTATTTTAAAAATCTGTCACATGTTGCATTGATAAAAATAAAGCAAAAGTAATAATTTTTAATAAATGAAACATAAAATAAAAATATTCATATTTATAAGGTTCACATAATTGCGCATAGGAAAATATTTATCTTGCTTATTATAGTTTTGCTATAGATAAAAATGTTACAAACTCACTGATACTGAACAAGAGATACATAATTATAACAATATTTTATATTACTATTACATTACACTATTTATTGTTACTGCATCATCAGCTTAATGATCAATAAATAATTTAAATATAAACTTAAAAAAATAACAAATAATAATAATAATAATAATAATAATAATAATAATAATGATAATATAATGAATTGTCATAATGAATATAGAATTCAATCGTTATAATTAGGTTCCTCTTGGCATTGCTGTATTAAGCTTTTCCCAATCACGTGCACAAATTTTTCCATAGTTATCTGCCCTTAGGCTCTACAAGATGAATATATATGTCATGCGAATAAATGCTTCATGGTACGTTTTTACATCAGAAAGTCTCCCAACGATTAACAAACAGCGATTGAAATTCACGATTGTAATTCAATAACGCTGAGTGGCGTTGAGTAATTTGTAAATCGTCGAAACACTTACTTATGTTGTCTTTTATCATTAATAAATGTTTGAGTAACTTCATTTCACTAGTTGCCCGTATTGTCGAGAATAAGGATTCGCAAACTGCGGAGTGTAAACATGATGGGGGTACTCGGCCCATTTGCTGAAATCAATGCTCGGAAGGATTCCACTTTTACATGGCACTCGAGGATTACTGAAACAACGGACAATAATACATAAGATTTTAATTAGTAAGGCAGTGGCACATTTTTCATTAAAATTATCGAAATCATCTAATTATCCCGGCCCTCTCGCTCGCCATTAATCACGTATTCTTTTCGCCCGTACATGATATTTATTGTAATAATCATAAAATGAAATAATTAATTAATCAATACATAAATAAATACGCGTGATGCAAAGAGAGCACGTAAATTGATAAAATGTCTTTCAAGATAGCGTATGTTCTTACACTTCGTGGTCAGGTAAAACCATTGGATAAATTTGTATCGTATCGATTAAATCCGTATTGTCACAGATAACTCTGGCTAATTTCGTTTTCCTAATCTCCTGCAACTGATCTGCAATAACAAACAAACGGTGTTGAAGATTTTGTTAAGAATTTCTTTTCTAATTCATTGATTAAGTAATAGCGATACTTACCAGGAGTAAAGGAGGATGGTTGATTAGGAAGCTCGTACCAGAAGCGATCACCGCGCCTGGAATTGCTGAATTGCGTGGCAATGATACACGCAAAAGTTGGTCCTAGCATACTTTGGGGCAGAGGCCTTTCGGAAACTCCCCCGGACCAAAGATCAACATCGGCTGGTTGCCTAGAACGTTTTGCAAGAAATACAATTTACCGATTTAGAAATATGTTGTCCACCTCGTTATTTGGAAAGTTTGATGAAAATGTCTTGATAAAATTATCAAATCAATTTTAAATTAACTATTTAACATTGTCGTAAATAGCATCCCTAATACATATACTTACAACGACAGTCACAATTATTTTCGTTTGTCGTGAGTATCATTGATCTAGAATAATTCTTATAATTACGTGCTTTTTACACGCTATTAATTAAAACTAAAAATTGTATTATCCAATCATCTATTTTCTATTCATTCGGACATTTATTAATCGAGTGAAGCTCCTTCGTTCGCACCATTTCCATTTTCATTCATTCTACAAACATACATACATACATACATACACGGATACACATAATGATAGGATGTAAAATTATGTATGTGTTCGATTTGAATTTTTCGATTTTCTCGACAGCTCTATGAATTATTAAGATCTTTCTCTGATAAATTAATCATGTATAAATAATATTATATAATATATAAATAAATAATTCCTTTAACAAAACTTCATTTAAATGTAAATTTTTTTTCTTTACATATGTCTGCATAATTGAATAAATGAATAATTAAAGTTAAACGTGACTAATTCGTGATCTTAGAAAATCTTATTAATTGTCGAACATATAATTAAATGTATTTCCAACGACAATATTTATTCGGTTATCTAACATCTAATTATTAAACACACAGTTTTAAGATTAATATTTAAGTGATTATTAATTAAAATAATTATTAAACTCATTTCTATACATATGTTTTTGTCAAATTTTTATGAAACAAATAGAATTCACATTTAATTTAGCATCAATATAAAAGATTACATTTTTTTTTAATAAATAAGTAAATGAAAAAAGTTACGTAGTAGAAGAAAAATAGATATATACAAATGATAATAACAAAAGATAATATTATTAAATACACTTCTAATATGCATTAGAGACGTTAATTTTTTTTCCCCCAATAAATACACTTACCGACCATTACAATCCTAATTTTATTTAGAAATTCCAAATATTACTTCTTTTTTTTACACAAAATTTCTATATACCTTTTCATTTATTAAAATTATATAAGAAATTGATGAAAGAAGAAGAAGAAGAAGAAGAGGAGGAAGAAGAAGAAGAAGAAGACGAAGAAGAAGAAGAAGAAGAAAAACAACAATGTAATATTCGCATTAACCGCTTATATACCCATCAAGAATTTTATAAAGTATTGAAAATTAAATTTTTTTCGATGTTTTACAGGATTCCATTTGACAGAATACATGTAAAATTCATCCAATAAATATAAATATAAATATAAATACCCTATACAATAAACTATAAATAAACTATAAATATATTATAATAACAAAATATAATAGAGATGTCGATAAAATCATTCGTCTCGGCTTGATGCATTAAGAATAAAATACCAGGATGATATTTAAAAAAAAAAAAAAAAAAAAAAAAAAAAAAAAAATTACCAACCTAAAAATTCAAGCTCAAGAATGTCATGTTCTAACGAAAGTTCCCCCTCCCCTTCCTTCCTTCCTTCCCACCATCGCATTGAAACCCTCAATACCGTGCACTCAGCACAAGCTCGTAAAATTTTCAACATAAATATTCCCTGCCAATTAAGAAATCCCTTCCCCATAAGTATCGCTAATTTTAAAGTGCGCAGTCAAATAAAATGTCATAACAGCTCCATCGAACGCAAAGCGCCAACGCCGCTGGCCAACCTCCCTCCCAATCTATTATCGCCCAAGCATTTACTAAAGCCAAGTGAACTCACTCGAAAATGGACATGTAACGACGCACCGTCTCGTTAGGCATCGAGCCGAAGAGCTCCTCGAAGGTGTCGGCCCAAGGCAGACCGCAATATTTCCTGAAATGGAAAGTTACGTGTGAGAAAAGCCGGTCGATCGCGGATCACCTCCGCCATAATCATCTCGGCACCGTCACCATCGCCACGTTACCGCCGCCACCACCACCACAGCACCACCACCACCACCACCACCACCACCGTCACCACATCCCCGTCTCATCCTCCTCCTTCTCTTCCCATCACCCATTCCCTATAGGGTTATCCCCATCCGTGCACAAGCAACATCACCCGATGAAAAGTTGTCGCGCTTTGCCCCGGTCGGACGAACCTGAATTCCATGTATCCGGGAATGCCAAACTCGCGGCCCCGCTGCATATTGAAGGAGACCAGATCCATGCCGTGTTTGGCGCCAACTTTCTTGAAAAGGTGATTGGTGACCTACGGCGCGAAAACAGGAGCGCGCTTAAACATTGTGATGCTTATTATGAAACTCTTTGTGAAATTGGCGCGCGTTTTAAGTTTTCGCGTGTTTTCGCGCCTCGACACGATACCCTCACATCATTAGGGTTGCGCGTCGAACACTTTTCCCTCATTGTCTCACCCACCCCTTCCCCATTGTCTAGCACAGTGCAATCTTTGGTATGACTAATACGATGTTTACATACATATTTACATGCGCACTCTGTATGTGTGAATAATTTAATGATGACTCGCTCTATCGATATTTCTAGGCAGCTTATGATGTGCCGATTTATGGCATAATAATGTGCAACATATATATATATATCAAATAATATGGAGCTATGAATGAGGTGGAATTTTATGCTCGGCAATGAAAATTGTTGCATGATAATTAAAAATTTCATTTTCACTAAACTATATGTAAAACGGTGGTGGAGAAATTCTTAATGGCAATTGTTCAACGTTCCAAAGGTTAACAAAGTTTAACCTATAATGATAATTCACGCAATGTCGACATTATCTTATATTTTAATTCTTTAACGAGCAAAATCTTAGATCTAGATGAATTCGCGCTCCACAATGTTTAATAATTGTATTTAATTTCAAATTCTGATATTAGAGGGAGAAGAAAATTAAAAAAGTTTTTTAATATCATCGAGTAACAACTTTTCTTTTTCACCCAATTAAATAAATAGATTGTCTGTATTTTTCATTGAAATAAATTAGCGAATTTAGGTCGTAATTATAGGTTCGATATTTTTCTAGAAACCTAATTTAAACTTTAACGCTACGTCCCAAATCTTGGGTCTGCAACTGTTGAAATGCATTTCATTGCCCATTATCCTGCAGCTCTGCTCAATTCGAATTACTTTACTTTGCAGTAAATATAAAACTGAACCAACAAACCGTACTAATAATCCTTTTTCATTTCATTCTAGGTTAATGGGACGAGAAAAAATGAAGTTTTTAAGAATATTAAACCTTTTAAAAGCTTATCTTCGAAAATTTCACAATTTGGAAACGGACGGAAATTAAGATAAAAAAAAGAATTACTTTAGATAAATCGTTACGCAATTTGCATGTGCCTGTAATTGTTTAAAAATATAACATAACAAATGAGAACATTCGGAATTCAAAGCAAATAGTGTCACTATTCCCTTTCATAATTACTCGCTAAATCACCTGCCTTCGTTTCATAATAATGGCTTTGCAAAAGCTTCACCATTATTTCACTATTATTTCTAAAACATAGACAAAGTTATATTTACTACAAATTTTACCACCTTTTATATGTAAATTCTTAAGAAATATCTATGAAAATGAGTTTTATCAAATAGTTTAATTTCGATGAAAAAGCAAAAATATGAAAAATACTAGTGGAAAACAATTGAGCTTAATTTATGCCTTTTTTTCTGTCAATTATTCATTAAATTAATATTATCGATGAACCGTTCGTTCGTTCGTTCGTTCGTTCGTTCGTTCGTTCGTTCGTTCGTTCGTTCGTTCATTTTGTAAACTTTACTTTATTAATTTTGTCGATACGAAGAAAGAATAATGTAATATCACAATGGTTAAACAACAACAACAACAACAACAAAATGTCAATTTTCAAACACAATCAAAGTATCCGTTAATATGTAATATTGAATTAAATTTTTCAATTAATTATAAGAAATATTATATATATATATATATATATATATATATATATATATATATATATATATATATATATATATATATATATATATATATATATATATATATATATATATATATATATATATATATATATATATATATATATATATATATATATATATATATATATATATATATATATATATATATATATATATATATATATATATATATATATATATATATATATATATATATATATATATATATATATATATATATCTATTCACCTCTTGCGTTATGGAATCGTCCATCGCTTGGGAGACTTGATTCATCAAACCCATTAAGTATTCGTCAAAAACACCTGCTCTGTACAAATCGAATGGTCGTCTAATAAGGTCAGACAAACGTTTCGATGCTGTAACGAGAAATAATACTTTCCATTAATTTAAAATTCGTCCTGTTTATTTCTTTTTTTTTCTTTTTTTTTTTTTTTTTTTTTTTTTTTTTTTTTTTTTTTTTTTTTTTTTTTTTTTTTTTATTTTTTTTTC